AAACAGAACAGGTCATTGTTTTCAACACTCCACTGTTTACATCCTACACTGCAGAATTGGACCCTATCAAAAGTACACAATTAATTCATAATGGCTGCATTTTCTTTTAATCAAAGAATGCAATGTCCCAGAAATAAATTTATCTTGGGTTCAGATCACAACCTTTCCAAAACTTGTATACTCAGAATGTGAAGTGGGAGGCAATGTCATGAGATCGACTTAAGGGCAAAATATTTTCACAAAGGTCATTTTCAACCTTTCCAAATCTCATGTTCTTCGGCTGAATAATAAATTCTAACATGCAGTCAATATCTGGCTTTGTGTCTGACCAGAAATGTATGTGAAAATAAGTTTCCAAGCTGTAAACATTTTAAGCCCCAGAGTAAACGTTTTATTGGTTTAAATAAATCTGTTTTATGAAATTGTATAAGAGGAATACACTGGTCAGCACTGGTTTTGGTTCTCCTGAAATCAATGTTAAGCCTTTAATTTGAGTAATAAGGTAAAGGTTAATGAAGATAAAGAAATCCTTTATTTGTCCCACAGTGGGGAAATGTCACTGTTGCATCCCAAGTTACACAACAGTAGGAATGAGGAGCACACACAGATATATATATATATATTATTAGTAGGGCTGTCAAAATTATCGCGTTAACGCACGTTAATTAATTTTTTTCATTAATCGCGTTAAAAAAATTAACGCATTTGACGCATGCCCATGCGTCCCACTATAACAAGGCAAGGCAAGTTTATTTATATAGCACAATTCATACACAAGGCAATTCAAAGTGCTGAAACACTCAGAATGCCGCGGACACATGCGCGTGTGTAAGATGGGGACAGAGCAGGTAGGCCCTCTGGGAATTCAAGTTTTGAAAGAATACACGCGTGACCGCGGGGCACTTGTTGTTTCCTGTATGAACTCTGCATGATGAGCTGCGGGCGTGACAGCGCTCTGGACAGTGCTCTGGACAGCAGTTCCCACTTCCAGCGGCTGTGATCACGGCGAGCGGCGCTGCGTAATGGGATCATATCCAAGACCACGCACAGAACTATTACAGAACTATTCTCTAGTGTGCGTACGTGTCTTTGCGTAACCGATGCACACAATATGTACAGCGCTGAAGCTGGACTGCGGAGCTAGTCTCCTCCATGTCTTCTCCCAAAGCGCACTCGCTAAATTAAAGCTGAGGTACCTAATTTTTCTTTCGATCATCAGTTCATGTTTGTTGTGCCAAAAAAGTAATGGTGTGAGCAAATCAAACAGATTTAATGACATTCTGCATTTCAGACTATTTTGAAATGTCCCTCATCTGTAACAAACAATGGTTTTGGTCTGAGTCTAAACAGAAAGACAGAATGTTAATAATGTTAATTCCATTTTATATGGATTTATTGTTATAACAAACAAATACAGTTCATATGTTCACAAAGCTGTCATTTATCTTTCCATTCAAACAACAATTTACAGAAAAATATGGCATAATTTTGCCAATAGTTTGAAATGCGATTAATTACGATTAATTAATTTTTAAGCTGTAATTAACTTGATTAAAAACATTAATCGTTTGACAGCCCTAATTATTAGCACAACTCTATACTTTGAAAATCAAATCAAATATAATCTCTATTTTTTAGCTTAAAAGAAGTCAAGTGTTTAATCTTGTGGAAGAAATATATACTTTTATGTACCGTATACATCTGTAGATACACCTGCAATACACTAGTGCACAAATGTTATGGTAGGTCGTTAACTCTTAGGATAAGTCATAATGAGGCTTTTATCTTCTAATCATGTTCAAACCTTTTCATAACCTATTAGTTTAAGAATAAAACACACTTCTATCCATTTTCTTCTGCTTTATCCATTTCTGGGTTGTGGAGGCAGCAGTCTGAACAGAGACTCCTCCTCCAGCTCACCAGGGGGAATACCAAAGTCTTCCCAGACCACCTGAGGGACAGAATTTCACCAGGAACAGATTCTTGAGCAACCTCAACTGGCTCCTTTCTAAGCTCCTCCTGACAGAGCTCCTCACCCGATCTCTACAGGAGCCACTGTACTGAGAAACCTCATTAAGACCACTGGTATACGTGATCTTATCCTCATGGTCATTACCCAAAGCCTTTGCCTTTTAACTCTTTGCCACGTCAGTCCGATACATCGACCGTATCACTGCACACGCTGCACAGATCTGACTGTCAATCTCACACTCTTCTCATACTTCGCTCACTCATGTTAAGATAAGAGAACCTTTGTTCGTCCCAGAGTGGGGAAATTTCAAAATTATCCAGATACTTGATCTTCTCCACTTGGGGAAAGACCTCTCCACCCACCTGGAGAGGGAAAGGCACCTTTTTCCAGTTCAGATGCAAACACACTTTTTCATCATTTTCTACTATAACATGGTTTGCATTATAAAAAAAGTAATGATTTCAGTAAGCTCAGGTAGAACTTTAATGAGGCTCTAGTCCACACGTGTAACTTCAAAACATTGAACTATGTCTTGTTTTCACGGCTCGGAGCTTTGGAGACACTGGGATGTTACAGATCAGAGAAAAAGGCACTTCTGTCCCAGTGTGCAATTTACAAATTAGACATTAGGGACCACTGGCCAGGTTACCAAGGAAGAGCTGGCCTTTGGAATATATTACAAATACTGCACAAAGGGAAGAATAGAATTGTTTAGAAAGCTTAAGCTATATTTATTAAATTTTGTTAACTCAGCCATGCATACTGGAAAACTGAATGGAATCTGGGTCATGTTGTAAATCAGTTTTCAGGTAATCCCTGTTTTGATCTCCCTAAGAAAATCCACTGAAAGCAAAAGGCCCATAAAATATCAAATTTACATACAACTCAAAGGAAGAAACAAATGACCTCCCGTGAAAGCATGAAGAGAAGATAAATCTGAACGCAGAATGGAGAGCGGAGATTATTATTGACCTGCCTGACTAGTAATTGTACGAATCAGCCAATAGTGACTTGAGCCGGGGCCGATACGCAGCTCCATTAATGTGATAGTTTGCTGCTACCCGCTGGGAAATTACCTCCCCTGCAGAAAGATAAGGGACACTTCTGTCGAGGAGGTGGCTTGAAAGTGCAACAGTGTGTGAAGCAGGGGCCTCTATTTAGAGCACAGCCTGTCCAAGCGGCGGGACTCTGCGGATTGCACTTGGCAGCCCCGGGGCCGTCCTGCTCCCCTTCACAAAGATCAGTAAATGTACTGTAAAACATCCAGGTGGGACTGACAAGGACTCTTATGGGGATTGCAACAGAGAAAAATGAAAGACTGCCTCAATGCTTCTAGTCAATTTCTTTACTAAATATGCTCTGATGTACAGGCCTGTTGCAAAAAGACACCAGTCACATGTTTTTGCTTGTAATGAGTCAAAGCTGAGAGTCATGGTCCCTCCTGCTTGTCCTGTTCTTTTTAATTAACACATGTAATATTTTACCACGTTTTGTAAACAAACAGAAATGTGCCCAAACCAGTGAAATATTCAGTGTCACAAAATTAATGGTTTATTCTGGTCAAAAATGATAATACAAAATGATACAAAAATGTTTGGTAACAAAATACCAACATCTCTAATAATGGTTTTTGTGTTGAAAGGACTTTCTACGACAAGACAATATATTTTTATTTTTTCATTATTGAATTGAGCCGACTCCTAATGTAATAGAGTTGAACCTTTTTTTCCATAACCCATGTTTAGGGTGCTTTTTTCAGCACAATGCAAGAACCCACAGGGCATAATTAGATGTCTGGGAATAACCATGTCATGCTTAGTTGCACTTGCACAAATAATACAAGGCTTTGATGGAGAAAATGTGACCAGGCATGATGCAGATTGGATTGATAGCCTTTTAAGACCTCACGCCTCTCGTTACATAATTGTGCTGTCATGTTCCTGGTTGTTTACAGGTTTAATCGACGTCGCCGTGAGGTTTAGAAGCTAAACCCATCTGCCTGCAGTGATTGCTTTGTTCTCAAATGAAATGGAAAAAAAGCTTAATTGTCCTTTTAAATATGTATGATTACATTGGCGAATTGTGCTTTATAAAACAATTCGTGTTCAAAGTGCACTTTACTTAACAAAAGAACAATACTTTTGAATAATAAGAATAATAATAACAGATGTTTACTGCTGGGTTAGTACAGGAAGAATGCCAGTAGTTACAATCATCATCGATCATCTAAGAACCACTGTATTTATGGAATTTTCGCACATCCATTATATAGTAGAGTTACAATTTTGTAGACCTAGCATCTTTGCATAATTCCTCTGGGGTAGACCTATTACATCATGTCCAATGTCCCTGTTTGAGTTACATCCCTTAAACACACACACAGTGTTGTTGCCGTAATAGTCTCTGGTCAATAGCCCCTCTGTTTAGCTCTGCTTCTTCAGATCAAAGTCTTGCCGTGTTCACAAAGTTGAGCCACAACTCTTGTCTTCAGACGTCCCATCCTTCTTTCCTCCTCACAAAGACGAGACACTGTGTCCTCTACCCGCAACAATTCTATTCAAGCTTGCTGATTAATTATTTACCAGAGCAATGAAATGCCAAAGCCTGGAGAAAAAAGCCACCAGGATGCAAAAGGTCACTTGCAATCCCTAATATATTTCCACATCTCACACACAACACTCTCTGCAATGATGGATGGCAATAGCATCTTTATCTGTGGCCCAGACAGTTTTCATCCTGTGACCGCGAAGACCAAGGGCAAAGGCAAACTTGAGCGATGATGAGGGGGATCTTCAGAAAAAGCCTTCACTTAGAGAGCACCCACATGTCTGAGGAGCTGCTCTGCGGAATCAATAGAAGTCTTGTCAGCTCATGGGCAGACCATTATAGTGCAACCTTTCCATCAGTCACATAGAAGGGAGGATGTTGTGATCAATAAAGCACTGACAATATATATACAAGTTGTGTCACAGAGAGATGTCGTGATGTGGAAGTGAATGCTTAATAATGCCGCTATTGTCTCTTACAGGTGCCTACTCAGCTGGCCAAATGGGGTGCCAGTGCTGCCGGATGATAAAAAGGTGAGCATGTGACAAAAAAAACACAAACAAAGAGACGTTTTTTGCATAAACTTTTTACTTATTCTCCTCTTTATTATTATTATTTGTTATTATCACAGCTTGGTACAATGCATTTTTTACATAGACTGTATTAGAGCTGCAACTAACGATTATTTTGTTATCGATTAATCTATCGATTATTTTTACGATTAATCGAGTAATCGCTTGGCTGTGAATTGTGTAGAAAAAAATTATTTTTTCATCACAAAAAGCTAAAGTGGCAACACTCGAGGACGTATTGATGGCGTAAACTTAAAGTAAATGTTTGTAACAGGCTCTTTGTGCTAATTCTGCTCTGATTGGATGAGACAGACAGATATTCATGAAATTATAAAAACAAAGTCGGTTTTAATCAAAAATACTACATTTTCATGTCATTTTTGCTCTGTTTGAGTCCGTGTGAACCAGAAAACGATTAATCGATTACTAAAATAGTTGTCGACTATTTCAATAATCGATTAGTCGTCGATTAATCGATTAGTTGTTTCAGCCCTAGACTGTATACATAAGGACAATGCTAACCCTCTAGCTCACTCTAACACTCTCTAACTGTGTGTGACTGTGGAGGGTCTGAGAGTTTTGGTACCAGTATACTTCTCTCTCCTGGTGTCAGCGACGCAAATGCAATGTTCCCACCTGTCCCAGTGGATCTTCAGCAGGAGTCTCCAACCTGTAGCTTGGGAGTATCAGTAGGTTGCGATCCCCTTCCAAGTAGCTCCTCAAAGGATTTTGAAATTTCTCATAATCTCTGTAGAATATTCTATACAAGGAGTAGCTCTTTGCAATTTTTGTCCAGAAAAAGTTGCTCTCTGTGGGAAAAAGGTTTGAGGACCCTGTATTATAATAGCGGCGGTAACCTTCGTTCGTATTGCTTCCAAGAATCCGCTGTTATATTCTGAGCTAAATATTATTGATGATGGACAAATTGTGCTTTAATTCTCTCCACACACGATGGTGGTAATACGGCTGTTGCGTGGAGAGATAAAGACAATTAAGTTTCTTAGAGCTGTCTGCACGTGGGCTTTGGTTGCTATGTTGTTGCTACCCACAAATTTGTCTCCAGAATCCCAGTCATGCTGCCTGTTTGATTTGGCTCTAATCGCCTTCTTCAGTCCATTCTTTCAACGGTCTATGGTTTTGTTATTGTGCGGATTAGGGTAATGCAGCCGTCCCTAAAGTCTTTATCACCGATGCTAAACTGAACATTCATACTTTATCATTGACATAAGTGTTCTCTTCAAAGGTGGAAACTGTCTGATGTGTATTTAATTGCTTGAAAAGTCTGGAAACATTAAGACTCTTCCAATTTTAACAGATTCACCTTGAGTCATTTCACATCCTTCCTCTCTCTGCCTCAGCTGTGTAGAATTCTTTAGTGATTTCTTGTCCTTTTGATACACTGAAGACTTGGTTCTCTGAGAGCCCTTTGTACAGAGCTGCTCAATATGCCAATAGCCATCACCCCTGGATACTGTAGTCCTCTGGTGATCGGCCACTCATTAACAGGTGAGTGTGGGCCAAAGGCTGCATACCACGCTTCTAATCCTTCAGTATTTTTGTTCCCATGTCAGAAGCACACATGTAAGGCTTGTGGCACTGCTGCATACCTTCTTAATTGTGCGGAGTGTCACATTTCGAAGCTTAACTGGTGGTTTGGCAGGGTGGGCCGCTGGGTTATTGGGTCAATGCGGCATCACACTCACACAGACTGTTGCCCAATTGTGCCACCCGGTATATTGGTGCATGTATTTTACTACTTCAACATTTCGGTTTGACTAGAAACACTGATTTTGTTAGATTGAGTGCATTTTGGTGGAGGCATGTAAAGATGGGACTCAAAGTGCACATTCATTGTATCGGCTTTGGCACAGGAGTCAGGAACCTCTCCCCCCACATTAAGATTCCCTCTGAATATGTAACATGAATTCTAAATGTTGCTCCAATTATATCAAAACAATGCCCAACATAAAACAATGAATTTGATTCTGAACTTAAATATGGTTAAACTCTAACAAGTGCATGGAGGAGAACATTCAGCCTTGAGACCTTTGCGTTCCTATACATTAAAAATACATGTATAGGCGTTTGTTTGCTCTCTGATGTGCAGTGTAAACATCCCTCTGAATGACGTGGCAAACATGTGGGTGGCACGGTGGCATAGTGGTTAGAGCATGTACTTCACAACAAGAAGGTCCTGGTTCTCCCCGAGTCTGCGTAGGTTTTCTCAGGGTGCTCCGGATTCCCCTACCACTAAAAACGTGTGTTATAGGTCTGACATGTGCCTCCTGTACGGCGACCCCTCTCCCATCTCTGTGTGGAGAGAGGGGTAAAAATTCTCACAGCAATCGTAAAGTGCTTTGTGACTCTGGTCTGTGAAAGGCACTATATAAATAAAGATTACTTACTACTTACTTACATGCCCAATCTACAGCGTGGGAGTGGGGGAATCCTAGTGACTTCTCTGAGCTGACTGGACAAACTTTATGCAAAAGTCTGATTTGTTAATGAAATGTATCAGCTGGGACCTACTCCCACTGTCGTCACAGTTGCCGTACAAGGCAATCAACAAACGGCTCCTGGTTTCACTTTTTTATTTTTTTCTCTAATAATGATAACTATTGCTGACTATCATCATTTCAAATGCTGATATACAGTATTTCCTTTTTAAAAGCATAGCTAAAAGGAACCTGGGCTGTGCCTATTGTATTAGCATGCCACAGCTGCCCTGGCAAAAAGACGCCTGTTGGTGCCACACACATATACAGGTGTTCCTCAGATACAAGAAATAGAGGATCAAGTGTTTAGAAAAGCAGGATATTAGAATGGAAACTACCAACCACCTGATAAGAGGATGAATAGTTAAAGTAGAGCTCCAGTTTTGAGTTTTCAAGTTTACATTATTAGATTACATTTCTTACATTACATTTTATTATGTATTTTATCCTTGCATTTTACCTTTGTAGAAAATATATCTTTCCTCTGTGATGAGGGGAGTTGAAGCTACACATGACTCTGTAGTGTGTGACCCAGACTATAAAAACTAATGCAATTGATTTGTGGAGGTTTTTTCTAATGCACAGGTCCAGAAATGGGCTCTCAAACTATGAAAACAGAAGCAGTGAATGTGGAGGCTTTGTGGAAGTGAAAACAAATGAGCTCTCAAAGCAGATGGGTGTGAGCGAGCGCAGCGGGCGACGTCTGGCGGCCAGTGGGCCAGGCTGTCAGACAAAACAAAGCCCCCCACCAGAGCTGCTAATGCTGACACTACATCAGGAACCACAGGCACAGACCAAGAAGGAGGCTCTGTCCTCCACCACAGACCAAGAAGGAGGCTCTGTCCTCCACCACAGACCAGTCCAGCAGAGAAAGCACTTTGTGATGGATATCTTTGTTTCATTTTCTTGCGTTGTCTTCACATCTTTAAATGTCGGACACGTGTGAAACTGTGACTTCAAATCCAGATTTAGATACGTACACATACGTACCTTAGAGACTTGTGTAACAAACAGTGAGGGATCATTAAAAAAGATGTGAATACAATTACATTTACATGCACAGTAATAATATGTGTTGTTTTCCATGTTGTTAAGTGAAATGTGTTTCCCCAGTACAGATGTGTTTACATAGAAGACATTATTCTAACTATAAAGTGATTCATTCTGTGAGAAATATAAACGGCTTCATTTATCAAGCTTTTGCTCAATACACAAGTGATTATCACCCCTTAACCTAACTTGAGTACCTAACTTTCAAACCACAGAAGTATAACCGTCTTAAAAAATTGTTCTGAGTTGAAACCAACTCAAGGTTAGTTACTCCAGCTTTAAGCTCGAGCTTCACCTCGTGCCCATGTCTGATAGAACTAACCCAATAAAATGACTTATTAGCTACTAAGCTGCAGTTGATAAATGAGTCTTATAAACGCATCATGGTGAATAATTAACAATAATTTAATGCCTGGGGGAATGCATTTCTAGTTTTTTGACAGCTTGTAAATGTTTTCCTGTGAAAAAAGTCAGTATAGGGCCTGTAACACAGTCTGGTATCTGCAAAGGTGAGAGAATGAAGTTTCAGGAAAGGTGTCTCTTTATAAAGCTGCCCTGAAGACACCGCAGCCTCCTCCTTCCCGCCAGTGCTGGGTGTGCGCGGGTGTTTGTATTGATTCTCAGCCACAGACACATCTGACTCCTAGAACCCAGTCGGACCAAAAGTCTGTCTGTCACCGGGAAACATACACTGAAGTCTGCTGCTTTCAGGGACTCTATTCACATCATCTTGTTTTGAGTCTGAAAGCAAAGAAATGATCCAATTAGCATACATATCCCACTTTATATATATGTGTGATATGAGTCATGTGTGATTGATACACATGACATAGGAGGGAACGGATTTATCACCCTATAGAACTAAACTAAAACTGTAAGAATAAAAATGTCTGAGAAAAGAATGTTCCATTTGTCTGCTTTTAACTTTTAACTGCTATGTTTTTTCATTGAAAGGGAACTCCATACGACAGTACAGTTGTTTATAAATTACTCAAGCTTTTTAACATTGTGGTTTTGTCATTTAAAAGATGTCATTAAATGCAACTCTGACATACTGTCCATTGAATATTGAATAATAACACATGTATAACATCTTGTGTTTGTTGTTTACAGTTACATCTATGATCCCTCTGTGGGGGTGGATGGCAGAAAGTCTGACCATGCGGGCAGCTCCCTGTATCAGTCACACTACCCCTCAGGAGCGCCCCCTGGTGGAGACCCTCGCGGCGGTCACAACAAACACAAACAGGGAATCCACAACCCCGGCTTCAGCAAGTCCAACGACGGCACGCTCAAACTGGAGGTGGACAATAACCACGTGAACTACCGCCTGCATTCTGCGCCCGCCAAAGAGCTGCACAGGCAGGCCAGCGCCCCACCTGCAGAGGGCGCTCTTTACATCATCCAACCTGACGCCCCAGGGCCCAGGTGGATCATGCAGGATCAACCCAGCCAGGTGCCAGTCTACCCCCCAATTCAGAACTATGGCAATCAAATGGACTACAACGACAGAGAGGTGAGGAACGGCTGGAGCTCCGAGTGCAGGACGGAGAGCTTGTCCATGGACGAGATCGACGAGGGGGTAGGAGGGACCCCCGAGTACCCCTGCGACACCGGGGACGAGGGCAGCGTCCTGTCCGTAGACATCCACACCAGCACCACCAGCCTCTCCTCCGCCGACACCAAGCACGACCACAAGGCTCCCAGGACGCCCGAGCTCTCCACGGTGGAGAGCGGCATCCTGGTGAGCAAGAGCGAGGATGAGGAGGAGGAGGAGGAGGTGGACAGCGTGACGGACTCCATGGTGGACGAGGCTCTGGCTGCTCTGGAGGCTGCCACCGCCGGAGAGGAGTTTGAGTGAACATAGATTGGACTTTTATCTCTGTGAAGGAACGTCAAAGTCACTGTTTTTCCATGAACAATACAGCAGTGTCTGAGGACGCAGCGGACTGCCATTCGTGTGCCTGCTAATTATAACAATGAAGGAAATGATATTGCTTGAAAATACTTATCCATCTCAGGCGATGTAAAAAATTATAACAATCTGGACTCTTTGTATGGGTCTGATATTTTTATGAAGGAACATTGTTTACAAAAAAGTGAATTTATTTTCAAACCTCCATTGTAGTGGTCATAATGGACGGTGTCTGCCTTGTGAAGGAGGCTACATTTCCAAAGCTCAAGGATCGCGTTCGCCCCGAGTGCAGAGGTGTGGTGAGGCGCGAGGGGTGTCTAGACGGCGAAGCGGCGCCTGCAGCCATGTCGGCCTTTGGTCAGTGTGAATGAACGCCGTTTGACACGCTGCCGGTCCAACGCAGCGCCAGACCGATCCATCCGTCTGCATCCGGGCCGCACATCACTGTTCTCCTCCCCCATCGGCCTCGTCAGGATTCCGCTACGATTCAGGGCTTGCCAAACGCTCACTGTCGCTGACTGCACAGAAAGGAAAGGTCACAAATGCATTTTTTACATTTTCACAAGCTGTTCTCCGTCCATGTTTTTTCTGTTATTTATGAAACACGCATCTTTAGTTTCTTGGATCTTTTTAAATCGACTATTATTTAACCGGGAAAGTCTGGAAATTCTGGAAACCGAAAATAATGAGTGATGAATAATTATGTTGGTTCTTTTAGCCCTAAATTCTGCACACACTTGTCTGTCTTTGTCATCACCGAATGATATAAAACACATAACATTTACTCCACACTGACTTCGTAACACTATTTTATTGTATTGTGTAATAATCCGTACATTAGCTCCTCACTTCCGGCCTTGTGCCTCAACTCGTTCACCTATTTCCAAAGAACACAAAGGGAAGAGAAACCCCTGCGTGTCTCTCACAGTGCGGACTGACCTTGCCTGACCGCAGCATGTCCAGCGGAGGCGGAGTCTGTAGAGAAGGCCTCCTCAGGGCTCCAAGTGCAGGCCCTGGGTCTGTGATCTGTGACACCAGTCTGATCCCGGACTCTGCCCTCGTGCCTAATGAAATCAAGACTGGTGTTCTATAGAGCGCTACATAAGCTGATACGACTGGCTTTGCAGTCACCTATTGCCTGCCAAATTGTTTGTGTTTTTATTGTAAAATAAATGATGTACTCTGAAAAGTCTGCAGATTATTACTTTGGATGAATTATAAGCCAACAACGATTATAATGACAACTTTTTGCAAATTAATCACACTTTCTCTCAAACAATAGCTAGCCGCCATTGTCCAAGTAGATCCCGAAAGGATGTAGAATCAACGAACATGCTGAATATTTCAATTTCATATCATGATTTATATGCTGCAACTACTGAAAATACCAGCTTTGTATCAATACATACAATGTATCAATACATACAATGTATCAATACATTACAATAACTGTGGTATGTTTATGTACGGCTAGACTGCAAAAAAAGACAAAAAAATCTAATCAAATTTAGCTGAATTTATCTTAATATTAGAACATTTTGAGGATTTGCCAATGGCACATGTAATTAAGCCTAGAGCTGCTTATCCATTTGGTAAATTTTACATTAAGACCTTCAAAATGTTCTATAATCATCATGATATCTGCTTAAGTCAATATGTCGGCTTTACAGGAGGATAAGGTTTGAGATCAGTAATCCACTGTACAGCAAAGAGGCAAGTTTTGTATAGCACAGTTCATACACCAGGCATCTCAAACTCAACATGACCCTTTATGATGCACCATTTATAACAGGTGTAACTCCAAACAAATAATATGTCCTCATAAGCCATTATATGTATAATGAACTCTTCTCATTTCTTAAATACACTGTGCGTGAAGAGGCATGAAAACAAGTGCCTGAAATGTGATTGGTCTGTTCTCATTTGAGTTTTGCTGCAGTAAACCCACATAACTGAATGTCCCATACCATAACTATACAGTACGTGCATTGTTCCAGCCCTGTCCCTATGGTCTATACAGTGACCCATGTTTTTTGTCCATGTGTCTTGTTTACGCACCTGTCCTTCCAAATCTAAATGAATGTGGTCAGAGTAGTCGCTCAAATCTCCACAGAGCTGCAGTTATAGAGGCTTAGGGGGCGGGGCATGGATAATGAACACCTCAGGGCTTTTAACACACAGCACAACTATGGTAACCAAGGAAACCCCACATACTCTCTCTTAGCAATTACTGAATTTGTATCCCATCATTTTCCTATGTCATGTAAAGAACGGTAGGATCAATTGATAGTCCAACTTTATTATCAATAGGAAATAAGAGGTTTTTTTGATGGGAAGAAAAGTTCATATTTGGAAAGACAATATCGAGAGGCATTGTTGCAACGACAATCTAGTTGTTACTTTATATATTATGCATAAACAAATAGATTTAAAAGAGGACATTTAATGGCACGTTATAGTTCCAAGAGACAACAGAAAACACGGACACATGGTGGAGAGAGTGAGGCAGCAGGAGCCTTCTGCTTCACAGACAGAGAGACCCCACATTGAGATATATATTTATCAGCTGTGATGTCACACACTTGTCGCACTCTATTGGTCAGTAAGCCAGGACACAGTGCTGCATGAAGAAGTAACATTGATGGCAAGACATCAAGAAATTTCATCCCAACAGGCACAGATTAGATTCTTGTATTCTTCCCGACCATCCAATCTGTTTTTTATTTAAGCCTGGAATGTCTTGCCTGCACCTACACCTTTTCTTGCAGGGTAAACTGTATCTAGAGTTTCAAGCATCTCCTGAAACTGATCCGCAGTGTATTGTCACATCCTGGATGATGTCACACAATAGGAGCAGCCTGAAGGCCGCTTCGAGACACTTTTCACATTAAGGAAATTTCCACTCAAGGATTTAACACAGCACAGGTGTAAACAAGTTCTAGTGCAGTGGGAAAGTGAAGGATTATTATTATACTTATCTGTTTGATTTTACACATTCAAAGCTGATGTCTATGTTTATTTCCCCCCAGGGAATCAATAAAGTATCTATCTATCAATAACTGTATTTATTTTTCTTTTGGCAAAATGACCTCATAGTATCATTTATAATTAGTGTTTTTTCATTCATCCCTCTCCTTGATGTAACCACCACCAGTCAGATTTGATGGAGGAGAGACGTGAGGGGCCTCAGCTGTCTGTCAAGGATTGGAATGGAATTCATCGTGTCCAATTAGGAGGAAAAATGCCTCTCCATTGCCTCTACATTTTGAAAAATCACTGACCTTCACTTTAGGTATTCTTGTTATATCCTTTCTCTTGTCGTTTCAATGAGAAAAACACAAAGGTTTAGCAAAGGCACATGTTGTGTTGTAAAGGGAGGCAGTATGAGCTTAAGTTGTTTCTGTTTTTGCAATTCTAATTTTGTTTGCACCAAAATGACCTAAATAAATCAAATCAAAATATTGCAAAGATCCAACGTGCCATAAATAGAATGCCTATTATAATAATTTTTTGCCAGCCAACTTTTGCTAATACTCGCACTTATATGATTTTACATTTGATATTGTTGGTGTATACACGCATCCCATGTGAAAAAATAATTTTTGCAAAACTGTACGTACAGTTTTCCACCTGGAGCTTTTCATTTCATTACTGGTCCCTCTGTTTTAATTTTTAATACGATGTTTTTTCATTCAGCTGAAGATTGAGCTAAAGTTTAGACATGTGCTTATGTTGTGTGAGCCTTGTGTATAATAGATAGATAGATACTTTAATAAATAGAAAATAAAATTGATCATTCTAAAAAGATAAAAGAAATAATCAGCAACAGCCCTTCAGGTCACAGCAGCAGAGGTGGAGTTGCCTCTGGGTGGAGCAGGACGGGTTAAAAGGTGGAGTAGCCGCTTGGTGTGGACCATTTTCTCTGCTCTAGTCCAAAGTATAAGGCTAAATGCTTCATTAGAATTTTTCTAAAAGTTAGCATTCCTCCACTTGGTTCGGACCATAAATCCTCTCTGCTCTGGTCTGGACCAGTGTAAAACATGCTTTCAGAGCTATATAAATTCTCTGGAACTTGCGATACAATTCCTGACTTAGTATATGAGGGGAAATCATACGTGAATAATGCTGAAAAAGCAAACATGTTAAATCACCTTTATTCCACTAGTGGTTATGATGAACAGCAACTGTTTGACAGCCCTTTAACTCAAACCCAGAATGGTACATTGACTGATGTACAGATATCCCCTGAATGTGTGTACAGCAAGTTAATGAAGCTTGATGTTAACAAAGCGAGTGGGCCTGATGGTGTCCCAAATGTTTTCCTTGAAAACTGTGCTGCTGAATTAACACCTGTACTCGCTCACCTTTTTAAGCTTTCGTTTTTCTCATCAAAACTGCCCCAAATATGGAAATCTGCTTATGTGACACCAGTCTACAAGCGTAAAGGCGAGAGATCAAGCCCGTTCAGCTACAGACCAATATCTTTGACCTCGTGCATTGTGAAAATCCTAGAGAGCATTATAAATGACAAGCTGATGGCATTCTGCTTGGACAATGGATTAATATCAAAGCACCAATTTGGGTTTCTGCCAAAACACTCTACACTGGACCAACTGGCATTGGACTACCACACTTGGTTAAACGCTGCTGAAAAAAAGGACACCTGCCTTGCAGCTTTCCTAGACCTAAGTAATGCATTCACATCGGTTCCACACAAGGCTATCTTACACAAACTTCCAGCATTTGGAGTCCAAGGAAAAATGCTTGCCTGGATACGCGACTATCTAAGTATTCGCCAGCAACAAACAAGAGTTGGGTCTTTATTTTCCTCACCTCTTCAAGTGCAGTCTGGAGTACCCCAGGGCAGTGTTATTGCTCCAACACTGTTTATTATCTTCTTAAATGATTTATTAAATGCATTGGAGGAGCTTTCTGGGCTGTTACCAGACAGTATAAGAGTTACACCAGCTGCATATGCGGACGACACTTTACTAACTGTCACTAGTGCATATCCAGCCCTCGCGGCTGCAGGTTTGAACTGTGCATTGGCTGCTGCAAGCAGTTGGGCCAACACCTGGGGTATGAAATTCAACCCTTCAAAAACTGTATGCTTGTGCTTTGCTAAAGCGCCAGTTAATAAACAAATAGATGGTCAAGTCATGTTTGAGGGCCACAACATCTCCTTCTCAAGTGAGACAAAGCACTTGGGGATAACAATCAGCAGTGATTTGAAATTGAAGCGATATGTTGAGGACTTGTGTAAAGGGGCTAGAAAGGAAATGTTTGTGTTGAGGCTCTTAAAATCAAAGCTACCACCACAAAGTAAAGAAATCCTGCTTCGGATCTATAAAGCATACATTAGATCCCGACTAGAGTACTGCTCAGTGCTGATCTGTGGCATAGGAAAGACTCTGATAAACTGTTTAGAGAGCATCCAACGAAGATGCATGCGCATTATTCTAAATCTGCCGTATCGTGCCCAGTTGACAGCAGAGCATTACAGAGCGCTCGGACTAACAACCTTGCAAACAAGGCGGAACTTTGCTCTTGCATGTTTTGGTTTTAAACTGTTCCATGGACTCTCGCCTGCGGCGCTGGGACCATACCGACCCACACAAAGGGTCCTGCCATACCATGTGCGCTGGGTCAGCTGTGCTTTTCCGGACGGGACACTGCCCAGCGCCCATATCATGCAGAGATCGTGTCTCACTCTGGCCACCAGAATGTGGAACATGCTGGACTCTGACTGTGTCTCTAGTGAAACTTTGGGGGAATTCAAGGAGCACCTCAGGGTGAGGCTCAGGGATGAACTGTTTGAAAACTTTCCTCATAATTAGACTCTGGGGTGGGAGGGGGCATTTAATTCCAACGGTCATGTGACCATGGAAATGTAACGGGTTTCTTTTCAATTCAATCTTTGTAAGGTTTTAATGTTTTGTAAATGTATTAAAGATTATAAAAAATAAAAAAAAAAAAAACCATGAACACTGTACTGCAGCAACATCATAGGTAGAAAAAAGCAATAAAAATTAAAATTGTAAAGCAGAAAACAAGAAGAGCTACT